AAAATCCAAAACTATAATACCCAGTAATATCAGCGGCAGAAGGCTGGGAGGACTGGTAGGCCGTCATTTATTTTTTATATAAATAAGGTATAAAGTGATGTTGATTCTGCTAAAAACTCTGTTTATGTTGTAAATATGTAATCAGCGCCGCTAGCGTTGAATAACAATTTGACGATGTGATCATAATATCATAAAATAGCAACGTTTTTTAGTTATTAATATCGTCAAACAATCTCTATTTATTGACTTGGTCAAGTTATACCATAAAATGATCAACAAACAGCTTTAAATATCATGAAATGGCACTATTTCACGAAATGATAGACTACTTTATGATATGATCAGTTCTACGATCTGGCCACGACATACATAAAAATATCTTTGATAAAACTCAACAGATGATAAAATTTTTACAATAATTGCAGGCAGGTCAGTTTTAATTATTTTACATATAGATAAATAATTGAACTAAAACCATATCAATTTTAATATTTTTGGTGGACGTCACTATTACCTATTTATTAAAATTTTAAAATGAAATAACAATAAAAAAACTAAAAAGTAAACGTCAGGATTTGTAATTAATTTTATAAATCTAATTATTCAAGCATATAAATGTAAGTTAATGTGTAAAAAATTATTGTATAAGTTATTAGTAGGTAAATGAACAAAATATCTTCAGAGGAAAAATCTTTAAACTATTTGTATAGTTTTATTAAAATGTTTTCTACAGCTTTGCGCGTCCGATATCTACCGACAGTAGAAAAGATTCGTTGTAATTTTTCAGATGGATTATAGACCGCGATACATCAGTTCCTTACTTACATCTCTTTACATTTAATCAAAACTGTTTTTGTCACAATTAGTCATTTGTTTATTGATTATATTATATGTTTTCATCGCATTTGAATATTTTTCGTCGTCATGAATACGTAAAAGTTCGAGTAATTATGAAATATGAGTATTATCGTGGCAGCAACGCGGCACAAACGGCACGCAACAACAATGACGAGACAAACGCACCACCGGTTATTGGTTTGCCCACTTCTTTTCTGCAAATTTCGACCTGAAAAATTATCCCCGTAGTCGTCCAAAAACTTTAGTCGACAGTGACGATTGTGGAAGATGACGATACCCAATCTATGGATGAATTAGCGACGTCTTTTGATGATAGCATCAAAACAATATTAGTCCATTCACGCCATATTGGCAAGGTAAAAAGGCTTGACAAATGGGTATCCCACGAATTCGAGCGCCAAGTACGGGTCGAGACGTACCTAGTACTGCTCAACAGGCACACAAACGAAAAAATGTTAAACTGTATTGTTACCTGTCACGAAAAATGAATTCTGTTTAACAAGTATGAGCGCTCAGCAAGTTGGTTGGATCCTGTTTCAGCACCTAAACAATGCCCTAAACGAAAATTTACCCTTAGAAAAGTGATGGTCACTGTTTTGTGGTGTAACGCCTGTGTGACTCATCACAGTTTCTTACCAAACGGAATGCGAATTACGGCAGATGTGTACTGTGAAAAACTGAATACAATTATGAAGAAGCACGCACGTTTCCAACCAGCTTTGATGAATTGCTTGTCTCCACTGCTCCTGCACGACAACGCGCGACCTCATACTGCACAACAGACGGTCTCCAAGTTAAAAGACCTGGGGTTGAAAGCTTTCCGTCATCCGTCATACTCATCAGATCTTGCGAGACGGGGAATTAAAGATGTTTCTTCTGAGGTCACAGTAAACCCAGTCTTTAATTTCGGCTCTTAACTAAATACCAAGCCCTCTAAATCAAAATTAGCTTTACGTGTGAAAACTTTGGCGAATCGTTCGTATTATCAAAGTGACTCACAGAGTCAGACTACATTACAATGTTATTGAATATTCTAAATAAATAAACAAAAGACATAAAATTAAGTACAATTTAAAACCAGTTACTATTTAGCATAGAGTAACATGATAACATAACAGAGATATAAGATAAAGATGTTTATTGTCCTATAGCTTTTGCCAGCGGTTTCGCCCGCTTCAGAATTTTTGAAACCGACATCATTTCAAAAAGTCACAGCCCCTTCGCCTGCGTCTTTGTTCACGTAGTACATAGTTAGAAATAATATTTTAGTTGCTATAACGGAACATTAAATGTTATTATTTCAAGAAATTACTGCCTACGATTTCTTTCGCGTAAAATTTAACGCTTATGACATGGTATATAAATCATATCCTTGCACTCATAGATAAAGTTAATTGCTTATTTACTACTACCTAATTATTAATGGTTGAAATACTAATGTAGCTGATTTATCGGTAATAATGGCCAAATTAGGGACGTAATTGGAAATTGTCCGCATTGCAGTAAATGGCATTTAAAACAAAATTGATCTGTAAACCACTTTGTCCGCGAGCACGTACAAGCACTCTACGATTGATATTCTCGAACAGGCATAATAGCACAGAATGTCCAGATAAATACCCACTACTTTGCCTGATTATACGACTAATTAATGGTGCTAGCTTTAACAGGCTTTTAAATTGAAACTGTTAATAATTTGAAATAATCATATTGTGTGGACGTTGCTTAGTATTGGTACATCAAGGTTAGGTATTAGCTCAACTGGAACTCCAGCTTTCATCTCCAGCTGCGAAAGCATAAATTCAAAGTAGTTGAAAAGCCCGACTTAGTAGGCAGTACAGTTGCAACTGATAGTACAACAGTATCTAGCGATGAGTATCGTAATCTTTGATTCGCAGAATTTCACGTGTAACAATTTTTTGTTTATTTTAAAAACTCATTAATTTTAATGGTGACAGCACCGATCTCTCATAGAACGAATCTTTATTACATATTTTCTTCATTAAGCTTGGGAAAACGTGTGTAATAAGTTCGTGTTCTCACCACCATACACAAAGAACACCCAAAAATTAAATTTTGCTATCTGCATCCATTTCCAGTCAAGCCTTTCCTGTTTGTAGCTGCTTACTTGCATATGCACCTGATTATTTGTCATTATAAATCTGTCCACGCAAGTCGCATGTCAGAGGTACCTGCACTTGGGATCACAGTGGTGACACCTTAAGACATGCATTTATTTCATCTACCGGTATGCCTTTCTCAATAACTGGCTTTGTCAGTCTGTAATCGCCTGTGATTATAATGAAAATACCACCTATCAGAGCCTGGTTGTTGCAGATATTCTTTTATTCATTTATTTTAAGCTGCGGTCTATGATTGAGGGCTTGTTGATCAATTTGCATTTCTGCAAGAAAGTGCCGCAGCCGCTAGATTTGTTGATGTAGATGTTAGTGTTTCTTCGCTTGTAAAATAATGTGGCAGTTTGAATATCGAACACACGTCCAACGTTAAGTCATAATTCAGCTTCAGATAAAGCTATATTGCGGTCCTTGCAATGTTGGGCCAGCAGTAAGTTTAGCATGATTGTTTTCCCATACCACTTGGTGCATCAAGAGGAAAGGACCCCCTCTTCACTATCTATGCGATGTAAGTCAACGTGGTACCATTATATCCACATGAATTTGCTTTTAGCTGAACACTGTCATAAATATTATTTTATCGTCATTAACTTCAATGTTAATTTGATTTTTAAATTATTATACGTAATAATAAATCCTTGTAATTTTGTACGACATCTTATTTATAATAATAGCACACATAATAATAGTACTCTCGATGTACTTTTCATGTAATTAGTAAATAAGCTAATTTTTAAAATATCGTGTGGGATTTGAAACGTAGTTCTAGCATTAGAATTAAGAAATAAATCATATGTTATTAATATTTTTAGATCCTATTAATCGACTCTATACTCTATACTCGTGAGCTGTAGAAATTTCTATCCGCATCTTATCTTAACAATATTAGTTATTGTTCATCATCTAATACTACAATATCCACCTGTGTGACATTTTATTGATAATCATTACGCCAATCGTGTCGAGTACGGTAGAATAACCCAACAACTGAGACTGTTTGATATGATTATGCTGCGCGGGTAAGATTCTGTAGTATTATATTATTTACCCATTTAATTACGATTTAATATTTAGATGAAAACTGTAAACTATTTTTCGACGTTTATGAGAACGCGAATCGTTTAAGATTCTAGGACCCATCAGTAGCTGTTTATAGATATAAAGATAAAGATTTAAGGAAGGAAAAATATATATCCCACTTTTTAGAAATTTTGTAGTTGGATACTTACTATAAAATTACTATATAATGTTTTTGCGTAAATGGTAAATACACTAACGGACACAAGAAAAAAAACGGCTTGTCGCGGAAATTATTAGACTACAGACATGACTAGTCTACAGATTTATTATATGCACAGATTATCTCTAAACACAACATAACATTGTACTATTTTCGTGAGATAGGGTAACTTTGCAGTCCTAGGTAGCAATAATTTATTTTTATTTTTATGTTAAAGCGGTAGAAATTATTCATGTTAATTATTGTCATATAGCATTGACTGATCCGATAATATCTTTCAGGTGGATGTATTTCGAACAAAGAGAAGATACTAAACAAGTCGAAGAAGTGGAAAATTTAAACTAAGAAGTATAGTGATGGACGTTTTTAGTGTGATTAGCGTAATAAAAAACATTGTTTTGTGTTTTGTCGATAAAAGATGTAGAAAAAATTAAACGGTGTTCTTATTCAAGCTTATTTGTTAACTTTACCGAAATCGTCAGTTACAGATATTTTGGGCCATAATATATAAATGCGGTATCGGGCACATTATATTTATTTCAAGAACTGTTAGGCCTAATAGACCACTAATTTTTTTGTCGATGACAACTGTTTGGCGTTCTTTACGTTTTTTATGTTACGAAAATGCAAGTATCATACAAAATATGTTTGCATAAAGCTAAGTAAAAAGAAAAGTCAGTTAAAGTTCAATAGTTTTGACTCCAAATTAAATTTCCAAGTTTCCAAGTCTTCAAAATTATAAACGAAATTTGAAGATATTAAAAATGGAAAAGAAAAAATTGAAACCAGTTGAAGAGTCTGCAAAAGTCTTATTGTACAAGCCTTCGGAAGAACTTGATTTAAAAACCATACCACTGAAGGAGAAAATGAAGTATTTGAAATCTAATATAACTGTAGAGCCAATAGTACTCCTATTTATGGTACCCAGTGTTCTATCATTGCTTGCTACGCAAAACCTATATATAGACAAAGCCTGCAGAGTGAATCTACAATTCAGTGAAACAGTGTGTAGGGATTTACAAATTAGGAAACTTGACAATCATACTTTTGAGGAGATAGAAGTACAGAAACTGGTAGCTTCAGTGCAAGCATGGAAGAGCATTGGTAACACGAGTGTAGCGACCTTATTAATTCTTTTCGTTGGAGCATGGAGTGACAAGACAGGAAGAAGAAAAATTTGCATGCTGGTCCCAATTTTTGCGGAACTAATGACCTGCATACTAAATATTGTTAATACGTATTTCTTCTATCAAATATCGATGGAATGGACCGTGATAATAGACTTAATTGTTCCATCGTTAACTGGCGGTTGGTATACAATGTTCCTTGGGTCGTTTAGCTACCTATGCGATATTACGTCTAAGGAGACCAGAACTTTTCGCCTGGGAATTCTAAATCTTTGCTTGACGATAGGTTATCCCATAGGAATGGGTTTCAGTGGGGTTCTTTTGAAATATCTTGGATATTATGGTGTTTTTAGCATAGCGGCTGGAACACATATACTTAATTTTTTCTATCTACATATAGGCATAGAAGACCATACGTGGCTTGAAAATAAAGATAAAGTTGGTAATATTTAAAAATTTTACGTTATTTTACGTGTATTTTCAGCAATATCAATAAAAAACATAATGTTTATGTTTTAGAAAAGGCGTACAGGCTTCATTGGTTTCCTTTTAGAATTTTTTGACTTGAACAGTTTTAAAGAAACCATAGGAATATTGTTCAAGAAAGGAAGAAATAATCGGAGGCTAAAATTTTTTCTACTCCTAATATGTGTATGTTTACACTATGGTCCACAAATGGGTACGTTATTTATTTTATATTTATGTTATTTATATTAAATATATTACACATAAAAATAAAGTCTCATAGTTTGGCATTTCATTTGAAGAGGGTTTTGAAATAGGGGGTCCGTAACGCTACTGACGTATGTTATATGAGTATCTGTCCCTGGAATACAATGTCTAATACTTATACCAAATCACATGTAAAGATAGAACATTCTGCTCTTAGAAGCAGGGTACGCAATGTAAAGACGAATCGGTAATTTGAAAACTGGCGATCGGAAGTCTGCTGCAAGTGAGTGGGAGCGCTTGACATAATATTAGTGTAACTAAAAATTGCGAAATTGTGCAGTCCTGTAATGTAAACGGCTGCAAAAACAATTTCTATTTTAAACAAATCTTGGACTGACTTGCACAAGAAAGTAACCGATTCCCTATATAATTTAAGCATACTATATTTCTCGCAACACTCATACTAGGCACCATTGCATCAGTGTTGCAAGTCTCGAAAATTTTTCTTTTCTAAATTGCAAAGAAATTTTAGAATTACTCATAAATATGGAATTCTATTTCTTGTCATAACTTAGTTAGTATTTGCAAAATATAGGTACGTTTGTATACATTATGAAATATGTTTGTTATGTCGTACAGAAAATTTTATCCTGAGAGTACAAAACACCTGATCTTGATACTGTTTCTAAATACAGTTTCACTATCCGCGAAATAGATACAATAATTAATCAATGGAAATGTTCATATATGACTCATGACACAGGGAAAAGATTAAGTATGCCTTCTCACTGCATTGCTGCATTCCGAGGTTGTTTTAAGTATGCTGCTACGAGTTATTGGAACATGCCACCAACCCCACTTCGTGTTCTGAGTTAATAGAATTGTTTAAAATTAAATACATAAAGTTTTTTTTGTTTATATTATTAACATCAAGAAGCTGCATCCTACCTTCATTTATGTGTCCAAATAGTGGAATTTCTTGTTATGACTTTGTTCACAAATCCACTGCAGAACGTAGGCCTCCCAAAAAAAAAAATGCCACAAAGCACGGTCCTTTAAAATGCAAATATAAACGTATTTTATTATTTAACTATTTAATACATACACGAATTAATAAGATGGATGATTGTTTTATAGTAAAATTTCATCAAGTATACAATAAAAATGCTTTCCGATCGGCTCGATCCACTGGCGCTGCGAAGAGATGTTGCATCTCTTTACATTTTCTTTCGCATATACCACGGGGAGTGCTCTGAGGAATTGTTCGGATTAATCCCAGTCGCCAAATTTCGTGAACGCACTACGCGACAAACGTCCCGATACCATACCCACCAATCTGGATGCTTAGCGGTCCACCACCATACGTTTCACAAGGAGTTTTCTTCCGCATACGATCTCTCTGAGGAATAGTTTAACACGGGCGATTGTTCCGGACCGATACGACCTGGAGACCTTCAAGAAAAGAGCTTACTCCTTTCTTAAGGGCCGACAACGCACCTGCAATTCCCCTGGTATTGCGGTTGATCATGGGCGGCGGTAGTCACTTAACATCAGGTGAGTCGCATGCTCGTTTGCTCCCTCTTCTATATAAAAAAATCACTCTGGAATGACACTCAGATTGTTTTGAATGCAGTATGCTGTTTTGATGGCCTTATGTATCTTCCGCTTACGTTGAGTGGGGACCAATTCCCAACAGGGCAAGGTAATTACACTCCTTGCACGGAATACTAGTATAAAACGCAAGTGATTTGACGGCCTTTTAAACAGAAGTAAACTCGTTTCTTAAGTTGTCTATTTATAAATTCTAAACTTATTTGTTGTTAAAAGTCTCCACAATACTGCAGAACTTTCTACTGAAACGTATATTGAAAAGAAAGTGACAGCAGAGCAGCAGTAATGGAAGCTTACACGATTAATTCATGTCACATTGCTTACAATTTTTTTTAGGTGAAACAAGCATTATTTATATATTTTTACGGTTTCGCTTTAATTGGGATGAAATAAAATATAGCATATACTCGACTTATAGTCTCATCCTGCACTCCATTGGTGAGTAAGCATATTTAATATGTTATAACGATTTTTTTTTAAGTAAAACTAAGGCTAAAAGCTCACAGAGCGATATTTATTTACCCGTCTGTGACTTCATTTCACAACTCATGAGACTGCAGTTTTTTGTAGATACCTGTCTGTTGTGGAGGCGGTAAAGTTCATAGATTTGGCGGGAGATGATCGCAAATCACGTGGTTGTCTGGGCGAAAGGCGTTTCATTTGCGGTGAATCAACCGTCAGTAAAAGCCACACCGCTATGCGCACATGTCTTACTATATGCTGTGTTGCCGCACGCACTGCAGGTTTAAATCGAAATTTTCGCGGGCGGAATTTACTATTGGCAGCATAAATATGAGAATACTTACTGTAGTCTATAAATTTCTCATATATTATAGCCGGATCTCATTTCTTTCAGTGCTATGGGCTTTGATAAATATCGCTCCTTAATTAAAATATCTAACAACTATCTAACGAATAAATGTATATGGCTGATTAAATGTCATCAATTATTGGTTGTCTGTATTTGATTGCAATTTATTATTAGTGTTATTTCTAACATAGAGGGAATCCTAATATAAGAACACAATGTTTTTAGTTGAACTCTTTATAAAACTGAAAATAAATTATTACATTTCATATTAAGATTTTTTCGAACTATGGTCATACCTAATTTTAACATAATAATATGTTATTGTTATAAATGAATATTAACACAAATAAAATGTATGTACATTAAAATTATAGTTTTAAATATTTTTTGATCAACACAGAAGTTTAGACAGTTACATCATTGATGGTTATATTACTTGTACATATATCGAAAAATGCATAAGCTCAATATATTTATTTAATCATATAAACAAAATTATTGAGAAATCACTATAACAGATATATAAAACTGTTTTGATATTTAGACTTATTATATAACAAAACATTAAATTATTTGTGTGTTGTTTCATTCATTTTTTGCAGGACACAGTAAAAAAAATAATATAAAATAATAACTGACTCTAACGTAATATAAAATCGTCTTGTGCCTTAACACAAACATGCCACATAAGTGCTTAAAACTTAATTTCATATAAAAAATTGCATTATGACTGCAATTTCATTAAATAAAGTGATCTAATTATTAAAAAAAATCCATCAATGGGATCGTTAATTATCTGATAAATAATTTAAAATTTATTCTAAGGTAATATAAAATTTCCTTAAAGACATAAGTGTTAAAACTTAATTTCATATAAAAAATTGGATTATGACTGCAATTTCATTAAATAAAGTGATCTAATTATTAAAAAAAATCCATCAATGGGATCGTTAATTATCTGATAAATAATTTAAAATTTATCAAATATTATAAAATAAAACATTTAAAACGTAATTTTTAATAAAAATATTAGAAAAGGAGTAAATAAATTCATCAAACCAAAGTACTTTTAAACAGAATTAAACGTTCGATAAAACAACCGTATATAATATTTTATTCAATAATACATTTCATAATAAATTCTATTTTCTAAATGATAATGGTTTCCTTTCTGATTAGAACTATATCAGGTATTTACCTATGCCTTCAACCATCGAACTATATTACTAACGTAGTTGTAATACCTCAATGCCTTCAATCAGTTGTGCACCAATTACAGTATTATGCTTTTAAAAGTAAGAGTGGCTACTTCCATATTTTGTGATCTAGTGGCCGTGTAAGAGAATTCAACACTCCATATCGCATTGTGACCGACACATTCATACTGCTGTCATAATACGCTAAAACTTGGCTCTACCGGGAATATATGTCCAGTCAAATCTGTTTTTTAATATTGTTTTTTTTTTTCGTTACAGGTACAATATTTGCTATATGCATTTTTAGCAAGAAACTAAAAGCTCACGATTCAATATTAGGAATAACTTCAATGGTCAGCAAGATCTTAGGCACTTTGGTGATAATGTTTGCCATACAAGATTATCAAGCATATCTATGTACGTATTACTAGCAATGATTTCAAAAGGAAAGATAGGCCCATCTAAATATTTTACACATAACTTTTTCATACAAGGAAAAGTGACACATCTGTCAATTCAAACGTCATATCAAAACACGACGTAATCTGGGTCGGATTTCGTAGTATAATTATCCTATAATTGTACCATTATTTCATAGTTTGTAGTATATAATACCGTAATAATACTAAGCGAAAATACCATAATTTTACCTAAAGGTCGACTTGTATTATTATTGGGTCCTTTTACATTTTAATATTAACCCTACGATATCGAGAATTTCTGTGTTGTTCATGAGTACCGCGTTTTTTTTTAAAATGAAACTGTAAAATAAAACTTTAAAAATGTGTTTATATAATAATTAAAATTAGGATTTTCTGGTCAATCGATGCTCAAACTATGCATTTATGTTGCATTCTTGATACAACTATAATGAAGGGCTACCACGATAAAAACTCTATGCTCCAGAAGTAATCGGTTTGATAACAGAATTTCAAAATATTTTATGAATCAGATTTTTAAGATTAAGCAGAAAGAAGAGATTAAGCAGATATGGTTTCTTTTGTACTCTTTTCGTTTTACCCTTATTGAATATAAAATATATTAGGTACCAATATTCAAAATTTAACTTATACTAAGTTCTTAGACAAAAATTAAACAGAAATAAAAATAAAACCGTCAAAAATGCAACGTATAGATAAACTAGTTGCGTGACGCCAAAATCCCAGCACATGGAAAAAAAGAAATATGAAACGTCAAACGTGATAAAAATTTTTTTAAATTGTATAATTTTATTTTCCGTGTACAATATTTTTGGGAGTCTGAATCCAACACTGGCCTAATCTTGGTAACATAACTAAACTAACTGTAAAATAAAACTTTAAAAATGTGTTTATATAATAATTTAATTGTAACAAAATTTATATAAGGTAATTTACCGATGATACGATATCCCATGATTTTTTTAAATCTTTTTATCGCAATTTTTGCATTCTTTTACCATGCAACTAGACAAATTTATGACAGGCAAATCTGTCCTGCGTGCGCATCACTGTCGACCGATCCGCATTGGCCCTAAACTGTAATGTTAGGGCCAGCGCACTGGTCCGTTTTAGTTGTTCGGTCGGCCCGGTCCTTACGCTAGTAATATATAAGTCAATGATTATTAGTCATTAACAGGTCGCTGACGATCTAAACTATGCTATTATTGTAAAGGATAGCAGAGATCCTCCTCCAAGTTCGATACCCTACTGTGCACTCCGTAATGTAGTCGTGTTTTCGTAATCCGTAAGTCTTGTATATACATACTATTTGATGCCTGTCAGAAAAGCCACAAATTAATTAAAATTGAATTAGTCTTATTGTGTCCTTACAGTTCCTGAATCTAAATAATGTCTATAGTCATATAATCGATTATTACTAGTAATAATATCCCATAGGCCGAATTTTAGTGACGGTAGCCAGTTTTAAGGGTGACTACCCACCTGAGCAGGAGAGAATTATTGTGCACGAACACACGCATGCACGAGCATCAACACACACGTGCAAAAGCGTAAGCGCAGGTGCTTTCTCAATTTCCTGCCACTCCGATGGGAGAGCAATCAGACAATCCAATTCAAGAAATTTCCATTTTCGTTAAATAAGTTAATGTTTTTCTTTAGAAATTAGTAAGTAATAATATTAGGTGGAATAAAATTGATTGCATTTTATATGACGGAGTATTTAATCCTCGTTTTTATACTGAAGAATTTGTAGAATCATATTATACGTGGTAGAGCCATGCTGCAGTTATATTAGTAGTATAGTTGTAGCACGAAAGGGTCGGCTCAAACGGGGAAGGATCACTCTCTCACAGAATACCAGCGTAAAATAGTAGCTTAATGCTGTTGTGTTTCGTATGGTGAGTGTAGAGAACCGGAGACCCTTTTACTGAAAAAGAGGCATTCCATCTTAATAATCACGGGTGACAACGCATCTGCATTTCGATTTTAGAGGTGTAGATGTCTATGAGCCGCAGCAACCACTTACCATCAGTTGGACTGTGTGCTCGTTTGTCACCCTATTCTATAAAAAAATGTATTAGAATTCAATACCATGTCATTTCCTCGTTAGAGTCGACTATGTTCACGTGGTTATTATAGTCTAATTTGACACTATTCTTCATGCATATTTTACATTGAACGAAATATTTATTTAAAAACTAATATTAAATATTTTTCTACAGATCCTCTCGTGGAAATGTTATACGGAACGACATCTATTGCGTTGAGATCTCTTTGTTCGAAGTTGGTGTCACATCAAGAACTGGGTAGGCTAATATCTTGTTAAATTATCTCAAAAGTGTTGTTAGCATCTTCATTTTAATCTTAACTGAGTAGATTAAGATATCTATAGGCCAAAGCATCCACTTACCATCAGTTGGACTGTCTGCTAGTTTTTCACAAAAAAATATCGTGTTTTTCCTATATTTCTTATGTGTAAATGTTATAAGAAAACAATGCTCTATGGTGACTGCGTAATAAAAACTCTCAACCCATTTTGTTTCTCGTCGTCCTATGTACATATAGGTATCGTAGCGTACAGCGACAATTGGAAATGCCACTGAATAAGTATAGAATATTTTTTTATCTAATAATAAATAATAAAAATCTAATAATAAACAAGTACGTTATTTTTTGAGCTATATGGCCGGACCATTGCCACTTCAGCTTACTAATCTGTTGGGCTATGTCAGTCACTATGGTTTTACTGCGGATATCCCAATTTCTAAGTTTATCACACAGAGAAACCCCGAGTATAACTCTCTCTATAGTTCGCTGCCGGCGACTTCCTCCATGCCAGCAGTGAAGGGGCACATCTCAGATCATACAAATCATAGCCCAAAGAATTAGTAAGCTGAAGTGGCAAGGGGTCGGCCATAGAGTTCGAATAACCTACAACCGATGGGGGAAAAAAGGTTCTTGTGTGGCAGCCACGTACCGGTAAGCGAAGTGTAGGCCACCTCCCACTAGATGTTGCGATGACCTGGTAAGACATGCAAGAAGTCGGTGGATGCAGATGGCTCAGGACCGTGCTTTGAGACATTCCTTGGCTTATGTTCAGCAGTGAATTCTATTTTTTCTTTGCCACATAACAAAATCCCATAGGATATTATTTTATCAGGAAACTCGATAGCATTTGCGATTCCCGTATTTATTATTATCATTCTCAAATTCCTTAAAATTATAATAACCCTTTTTATATATTTTTATAGTTTGTTTAAAAACGTTTTTAAACCGTGAGGATTGCAAATTTCGTAAATTTTCTAGCTGCGAAGTATAGCTAGACAGACTATATTACTTCTCGTGAAGCTGGCTATAACATACAAAAATAATTTGTCGTAAGAGATAAGTGCTTAAACAAACAAATAAATAAAAAAACAAAAAACTTCTTCCTCTTTATTATATTAGTATAAATCTCAGATGATTAGTGCTTGTTGTAAACTCGAGAGACGAGAGTAATCCGGATTCAATCTTCGGATGCTCGGCGGTGAAAGGAAACATCGTGGGGTCCTGTTTGTCAGCGAAATAAGTAAAAAAATATATATTTCGAAGATATTTGAAGTTCGCCAACACGCATTAGGGCAGCACGGCGGACACTTTCTTGCCCTATACCCTCTCAGAAATGGGTGGAGGTACTTGCCCAGCAGTGATCTGATTAAAGTTAAAAGTTACAGCCTACATACGTCATATAGACTTTAAGTTTTAACTTTAATCAGAAACCTCTAAATGCAGCAGGACACTTCTACTATTAGATCTAATGAGATCGTATTTTATTATTGAAACATTGTAAATGCGAAAACACTGGGCTTATGTTGGAATATTAGGGGGCTATAATTACTTATTTTTCATCTTAAAATCTATTTTACAATCATATGCTGATTAAACAGTCCGTAAAAACATTTAATACTCATTTTTATTACAGATATAAGTTCAGTTTCAGATATAAGATCAAAAGTTTTCTGTTTTCAGTTTCTTGACACTTCCGATTAACCTTCGGTAGTTTTATTACTTTCGCGTTATAACCGCCCTGATTACCTGCAAATCCAGAGATCCTAATTCTGGTAGAGTAACACCACCTTTCCTTTTCCTATCTTATAAGGTAAATGTTAGGAAGATGTCACAAACGAGTAAACGATATAACCAAACTGAACCAAACCTACCTATAACCAAAATGTTATTAAATGTGCAAGCAATTATTTTAGGTATTATTATTAATTGATGCTGTTTAAAAAAAAATAAAGGTATGTTTCTTTTTAGGTAGATTGAATTCACTGGTCGGTGTAGTGGAAACTTTAATGCCGGTAGTATATGCACCACTTTATAGCAGGATATATATCGCCACAATTGACTATTTACCTGGAGTTGTATTTCTCCTTAGTATAGTATCCTCTATACCCGTTTTGGTTATATTCAGGTGAGTTTTTATTCGTTTTGGCTAAACTTTTTACTTTTTACGTGGTAAAGCCACATTGTAGCTATATTATAGCTGTAGTAGGAATGGGTAGGCTTGACCGGGATAGGACTATGCTTTCACAGCAGACCAGCGTAAAATAGCAGCTTAATTATGCTGTGTTTTGTATGGTGAGTGTAGAGAACCTGAGATCCTATTTACTGGAAACCAGGCATTCCATCTCAGTCCTCAGGGGTAACAACGCATCTGCATTTTGATTCTTAATTGAGCATAAATTAATGTAGACGTTTGTGAGCCATAGCATCCATTAACCAACAGGTAGACTGTGTGCTCGTTTGTCATCCTTATTCTATAAAAAAAAAAACATAAAGTAAATAAAGGTGATTAAATAGTAGTTAATTAATACCCGCGTAAAAAATAAATGCAATGTGTCTTATCTAAATCGAAGAGCACCCTTCGCCCTCCATATTCTCGTCATTCTAGATTTCTACTATCTCCACTATTTACCCTCTCACTATTTATCCACAACTCAACTTCCTCTATACTAGGAAAGACGTCACCGTCGAACACGGTACGTATTTCACGTGTAAATTAGGTGCAGTAGCACCCAATCTAGTAAGATTGCTAACCCCTAAGTTAACAGCATGCCCTAATAATCACAATTACATAATTGTTTGTGTGTTAAACCATATCATTGCATATAATGTACTGCGATAACGTAACCACAATCTTGATACCACGTTTTGGCTGATGTGTAGGGCATCGGTATCGATGCGTTGAATTGTTGTTGTTGAAAAGAAAAAAGTTCTAACACGTCTGCGGCTCGTAACATTTCATCTCGACTCAAATGACTACATGAGATGACTCCTAAAGCTCAAGCGGTACGTTAAATTAAAAAAGAAAAGCAATCTAATCCCTTTTCATTAAGTAGTTGCAGAAGACCAATTTTGATTTTCCTTGACGTAACGAATTTTTACCAATTTTTTCGACTTATTTTTTTTAATTTACTGTTTAAATTTTGAAAATAGAATAAGAAAGGTCTCAATCGGTATATAAATGTTTTATGGAAACTAAAAAGTCGTAAATAATTTAGGATTAAGGTATGCCTAGATTATCTTGATGTGTTTATATATGACTTCTTCTCCACCATACCCCAAGGAAGTAATCAGAAAATTGAACGATATAAACAGAAAGCAGAATATATAGTTGAAAAGATACCAATATTGTTATTAAAATTGGGACACGTTTTAATTTGTTTCCAGCTGGATTTACCATCAACATCGTAAGGGTATTAAAAAGAAAGGACAAAATGTTACAACGAAAGCCAGTGAAACAAATAAAAACGAGGAAGGAACGGTGCCTGTTGCAGAGTCGCATGTTGAATGTGAGTGTAATTAAATGGGCAGTCCGGTAACGATTACTTATTATAACTAAATACTAATAATATGTTACAGAGATTTAAAAGTTGGCAATACTCGTTCTCCGTCTTGGAGTTAGTCTGGATTGTCATCATCCTTAAAATTATTTTTGCCACCAAGCAGCAGTGTATCCACTATTTCATTACATTTCAATGGGCATGATATAATAATACGGTGTGAGGCAATCTTTCTTATTCCTTAGGAAATGCAACTTATCTGTAGCTACATTTATTTAAATTTGTATGTAGATTTATCTACATCTGAATTAATTACGACTAATACTTACAACCAGGTGATATGTTAATTTGTTTATGACTTCAATATTATAAAATATACAAAGTATGCATTATTATATTATACTTGTATGTGCCTCGTTGGTCTAGTGGTTGTAGTAGTGCGACTGCTGATCATGAGGTTCTGGGTTCGAATCCCGGGTCGGGACAGAAAATAATTGTTGAGTTTTTCCGTCGAGAAATTCTCAGTAGTTGCCCGGAGTCAGGAAGTTGGCGGTATCTCACCCCCCCCCCCCCCCCGTACCTCGGAAAGCACGTAAAGCCGTTGGTACTGTGCCTGATCTTTCTCCGGTCGTGTCGGTTCACCGTCCCATCGGATTATGAGAGTGAGGGAATAGAGAGTGCACCTGTGCTTGCGCATACACTTAGGCATTATAATCCTGTCCTGCGCCGATGGCTAGCTTCCGTTAAGGCAGGCCCCCGTGGCTGAATTTCGGTCTGGAGGACATTATATAACGCGGTGTGAGACAAAATTCCTTATTCCTTATGGAATGGAAATTAATTGTGGCCCCAAAATATGTTGTTTTTTTACATAAAACTATAATGAAAAACAAATTTATGTTCACTTGATGGTAAGTGGCTATTGCAGTCTATGGACACCTGCAAATACCATTAAACAAAGAAAGCTACAGATGTGTTCTCACGTCTAAGAACAATGATGCCTCACATTCCTCACATCTTGTAATTATTCTGGATCTCTATACTATTTAGACCGGAACACAACAGTGCGGGCATCGCTATTTGTCGAACGAAACATGTAAGATGGTGTTACCTATGTAGAGGCAAAAACAAACAAAGAAAGTATTGCAAAAGTTAATTTCAAAAATTTATTAATAGCTTTTAGTAAGTTACATTTAATTAAATTAAAAATATCATTTTCAGGTTTACTACATGAACATAGACCATCAACAGACGCTCATCCAATTACTATCTCTACTAGTTAGGCTAATATTGTATAATAATTAGAAAAAATGCTGGAGCAGTAATACTTTTGCTGGATTTAACCAAAATAAATTTTATTTTTAAGACATAAAAAAAACTTGTTAAAAAACTTGGTAAAAACTTGTAATTGAATCAATGAGCGTTAATAGTTCAAAGCCAAATTTTAAAAGGAATAAAATGCTTCATGAAATTCTATAATTAGCGCAGATACCATAAATAAAATTAATTTAACTTGGCTTTGCCTTTTAAGTTGTAAATATTTAAAAAGATCTTGAATGAATTGTAAAATAAATGTAAATACAACGAGCAAAACTTATCATTTTACGAATCAATAACATTTTTTTAATTGTCTTTATTTGAACAAATCCAGACTAAAAACCTATCTTTGTTACTGGACTAAATTGAATCACGAAAAATGTATGAAATTATGTTAATATTGAACGGAAGATTACAAAAAATATCTGTAGAAAAATATGACCATAAAAGCTAAAATATCGATAATGTAATGATAATGTAAAAGGCGAAGCATTGCCAGAATAGATAGTACAAAGGAGGAAAGACTAGCGTCTAAGATTTGTCGATGTTCTATTAACGGACTTATAAAGAAAGTAGAGTGCATTGGAAAGGCACTGACATACAATTTATATTGCCTAAAGAATACAGGCTTAATCGAAACAACAATAGTAATATTATTATTAGTTTAAATGTCTTTTTCCTATGTCCTTGAAAACAAACTGAAATAACCGAGTCAGATCCTTAGGTCAGTGACATAAAACCGTAAAGTAAAAATTTTACAATCTGCGTTACAGACAACAGATTGGTATTACATCTTTAATTGATCATTAATATCGTTTCTAAACCGAATAAAACTTATTAAAACTAAGTTTTAAGAGAAAAGGGTAAGCAAGTCATGTGAATTGCCATTAAGAAGTTTAGAAGTAGCTTTGTAGGTGAACAAAACTGTTGGTTCATATTTTCACGAATTCAAAAGTAAACTATTACATAATACATACATAAACACTCACGCCTGTCACCCAGAGGGGTAGGCAGAGATTACGGACTTCCATTTGGCACGATCCTGACATACCTCTTTCGCCTCCTTTACATCCATATATCTACGCATACATGCTCGTCGGTTAAGGGTACTTCTAACGTGGCCCATTTTCAAAATATCGCCAATTTGGTCGACAAACTTTTTTCTAGGGCGTCCCTTCCCGACTCGGCCGTTCACATCTGCCATATAAATTTGCTTTGTCACTCTTTCATCATTCATTCTTTCTACGTGACCAAACCACCGAAGCATTCCTTTCTTAATCCTGGTCACAACATCATCTTGCATACCACATTTATCTCTTATCACGCAATTTCTCACCCTGTCATTCAGATTAAACCCTAGCATATTTCTCAAAGAACGCATTTCTACAGCATTTATTCTACTTTCGTGCTTCTTCTGCCACACCCAGCTTTCACTACCATACATTAACGTAGGGACTAACACAGCATTATGAATTACCATACGTGCCTGTTTTGACACATTCTGGTTCTTCATAATAGAGTGTAGTGCCCCATTCACTCTATTCCCTGCATTTACTCGTCGTTCTATATCCCTATCATATCTACCATCCCTGCTAAATACACATCCCAAATACACAAACTCATCCACTTGCTCAATTAACTCTCCTTCTATTCTTATTTCACATACCGTTTTGCTTTCTTCTCTTTCAAAAACCATCACTTTCGTCTTACTTGCGTTCACTTTCATTCCCCTTTCTTTTAATTCCCAGTTCATTAATGTAACCATCATTTGCAACTCAGCCGCTGATGATGCAAATATGACTTGATCATCGGCATACAAAAGGCATTTGACGGTTAACTCGCCCATTCTTAAACCACATTCTTCATCTTTCAAAGTTTGCAAACACCGGTCCATAAATAGGTTGAACAGCCATGGGGAAGCTACACAGCCCTGTCTGACACCTTTTTGGATGCCAAACCAGTCCGAGTAGACCCCATTGATCCTGACACAAGCACTAGAGTCCCTATAAAGAGACCCTAATGCCTGTATCAAACCAGCGCTCAACCCATATGAGTTCAGTGTTTGCCATAACACATTCCTGTCCACTCTAAACTATTCTAATATAATATTAAAGGTATTTATATTTTGTGTCAAATAATTAATATAAAGTTTATGTTCTTGATAGTAAACTACTATCACATAAACATCCCTTCTGAAAGTTTCTATAAATTTTTTACTGAATACAAGGGCTATCAATAAGACCGGTCCTTTTTGCAGTTTCATGCTTCAGCACGGGGTTGTTGAGTGTATTCTCTTAAATTTATGATGTTGATGAATACTTCGTTTAATTTATCTTTTTGCCTATTGTTATTTTTTATATTTTATATTACTACTTAAGCGCTTTTATTTGAATTTTTAACCAATTTTACTATTAAACTTTAATTAATTTTGATGGTATATGTGTTGAAGCAGTCCAAGATTGTTTTAAAAAATCTTACTGTCTCAGTCATAATCTTATCGATTTATCGCTGTAATTTTTTGCGCTGAAAAATGCCTAATCGCCCGTAACTAAGAATACTGATATATTATTTATACACTTAATGATGACTAATATTATAATAAACTCATTCTTGTCTACATTGGGTATAGCGACAGTGTCCGGTTACAATTTATTGGTTTATTCCGTAAAACAATAGATAGACTTAAAATGTAGGGAAATAGGGGCTATCACATCACATCCAGATTCAAATTTCATGTTCAAGTCGTACTTAATGCTAATCTCCACCAAAAATATCCTTGACTTTTCCCGGTTCATCAGCGCAATATCAGGCTTATTCGAAAGAATAGTCCTGTTTATGATGATGGTCCGGTCCTAGTAGAGTCTGGCGCGGTTATTTTTTAAGCACGGCTTCCAGCATGTATTTATAAAAAGGCAGTTTCCGATCCAAGAGCCCGTATTTCAGAGCAAGCGCTTGGTGTAGAATCTTGGCTACTAGATTGTGTCTATGCAAGTACTCAGAGTAAAAAAGAGCCATACAACCGGAGATGACGTGGAGATTCACTGTGATGGCGACAAGCTCGACAGATGTCGACGAAGCCATTCTTCAGGATGCATCTCCGATAGTTGTTGGTCTTAATAACCTGTTCCTTTATCGCACAGACAAAACCCTTGGTTTTCACAAAGAGGTTATCAAAGTGTAGCAAGTGAAGGCAGGCAACCGTATCTACGAAAGCCTGAAATAGAACCTATATACAGTGTTACCGTCGGAAATGCTCTGTACTACCGAGTCGTGCCATTGCTCGATAGCTATGGATAGATGGGTAAGCTCTTTATCACAAGAAATAAAACCTTATAGAATGGATCATCCGATCTCGTGAGGAAGTAATTACGGGGCTGAACACTTTGCGACTATGCATGTTGAGCGAGCTTAAAAAGCCACGCCCACTATGCTTCAGCGGCAAGTACAGCCTCATTACCGATGATTGCGAATGGTGCAACCTATCGGACGTCATAAAAGTGTGGATTTTCTACCCAGGGCGTTCAGTTCGGTCTGAGTACACTTGAATATGACACAGAAATATATGAAAACAGGTATGATCCAATCGTTTAATGCGTGTGTCTTATTCACGCCCGACAAAACGCTGTTCAGCAATTTGATCAAGCTTGTAATAAACAGATTGCCAACTGATTGTTTCATTTCCGCCTCGTTAATAGTTATATTTTATGACGTACCCAGGTTGTGTATTGAGATAATCCATATAGAAAAGGTTCATCACATTTGTACCTCTTTTCCGAAGCTGAAATCCTCTCTTCGTGCTCCCCAGTAAGGTTTTTGAACTCAAACAATTGCCTTGAAAGTTAAATTTCCGATATTTTGGGTGATTTCCAGCACCTATAGAAGAGTAGAGTTTGTAGACGCAGGTAGGTGAAGAAGGTACCGTCCCTGAGTGTAGTTGGCCGGCGTAGGTCGTCATCTGCCATTAGCATAGTACGGCGGCTGGTAACTTCGGCCTCCTAGGTGGTAGGACAGCTGGCGTCGACACTTCGCTACATTGCCAAGGCCATTAATTAATGCTAGGACTCCAGTAGCAGTTGCAGGATGGTAGTAGAACCCTGAAATAGCGCAAAGTGTGCACGTTAGGATAGATCAGAACAGCACAGCAGGCGACGTAGGAGTCAGTTACTCAGAGAAATAAGGACATGGTAAGAAGATAGGAAAGGCTCAAACCTTGCAGTAGTATACAAAACAAAAAAAAAAGGTTGCGGCATGGTAGATGTTCAGTGTAAAAATGTTTAACAATATTAATTGGAATTGGAGCACACACTTAGCTTAATAGGTCAAAGGACATGTTAAAATTATACTCGAAAGACAAAGATCTAATTATCAGTATTGTAATTATTTGTTTTATTTATTTGTGTATATAATTATAATACTATGTTTAGCTATATATTAGCGCATGTTAGATAAAGATTGTACACAGTATGTGTAGTGTGTATTAAAAATGTAGTGTGGTATTTAGAACTTATTAAGAGAGTTGTTAGCTAGTCTAGTGTGCAGTGAATGAGAGTAGAGGCTTATTTTTTAATGTGTTAAAATTTGTCCTCTACTGCGATATACGTGAGAGCAGTATGTTACGTAGCTCTTATTTAGGGAATGATTTCTTCGCGAACACTACACATTGAAATGATACTAGCTTTTACGGAATTTATCGCGTATATTTAACTTTTTAAAAACCCGACGTTTCGAACGCTTTACACTCATGGTCACGGGTGGGACTGAGATGTTCAACGTCCAGATGTCAGAGTTAACCGCGGTTACCATAGATTAAAATGTAACTTTTGTTCCGATCTTCACAGTATGAACTTATGGTATCTTGAAGTTTTGCTGTTGTATGCTTGGGTTGGGATTTAATTTAATTTATTATAGGATCCCAAGCAGATGGTAGCACCCAGCCATCTTCTCTATTGAAATTAGGATGTTTTTT